GACAGATGAGAAATGAAACTAAACATTATCACCAGATTAATTAAATAACCAATGTGTGTTTTATGTTTGCAGGGGCTTCATTGCATTAAGAGTTTGCAGTGGTTTAACAGCAGACTGTATGTTTGTTTCCTTCCTCCGCTGTGTTTAAAGAAGGCATGGGTTTCCTTTCCAGTGTCCTCTGGGTGTGGTCTCAGAATGACAGTGGTTTCCGGTCTAAGACCCAGACTTGGTTTATTTCAGAGCACTGACTTACAGGCACATGCGGTCAGGCTGGTGATTCTGAGGCTGGCATGATACATAAAAAGTGGATGTTGTGATTGCCAAAAACTATCCAAATTTTGCAACTTATTGGAAATATGTGCTTCAGTCTACATTTTTGTTAAACACATTAAATTTGACTGCACTGGTAAAATGAATGCCGTATGACACCAACAACTTTTGTTCCTTTAACAATTGTGATATTCACAGGGCCATATTACTGATGACTTAATGATTATTTTCGTACAGTCCTTTGCACAAAATAAGATCAACAAAACACCTTAAGTGTCTATAAGTGGAATAGGTTTGTAATCCCTGTTTTGGTCTAGTAATGGTTTTGTACTTGACTCAAGTCCAATAAATCATGGATCCGCAAACTAGATAAAAGCAATGTTAAATCAAGGTAAAACAACATCACAGTGCACTTTACTCACTTTTCTTTTGAAAACACTATTTGTTAAGTTAAATAAAGGGTTTAGTCACTGGTGAGTATATAACAAGCTCTGCCTTCTCATCTCGTGGACAGAAGGATGTGTATCTGAAACATACATAAAACATTTCAGATAAAAGCAATATAAAATCAAGGTAAAACAACATGGTCGCAGTGTACAATACTTTTCTGTTGAAAACACTATGCAACATACAACAGCATATTCTGAAAATGTAGCCCTATTTACATTTCTGGAGATCATGAATTATGTAGCCAGAAATATGTATGGCTGCATTTCGTCTTTAAAACGAATGCTACAGGGTGCTATGATGTTGTTCCTTTTCACGCTTACCAGCTGACCGTTTCCCTCTGTATGGAGGGCTTTCCCATTGTTACCAGTTTTTCCAGTAGCTTGCCATGTATGTCGGCGGACTTAAGACGCAGAGGGGAGTTGACTACGACAACGATATATAATATAAAAAAGTAAATAACAGGGTGAGAATGTGGTAAAATCTGAAAACGTGGTAAAAATCAGGCATGGGCTTTTCTTTTTTCTGGATTGTTTTTTAAAACTGTCGGTTGGGTTAGAGAAGGGTCAATGGGTGGTTTTGAAAACTCTATTGGTTGTGCTTAGGGAAGGAGGAGGGTGGGTCAATTGATCAGTCAGTCAGTCACTCAGTCGACCTCTGGTGGATTTACGTGAAAACAGCAGGTGCGAATGGCACTTGTGAGAGAAATTTGTGATCTGAAAAAGCGTACACAGTGGCCTCTGGTGGATCTGCGAAAAAAAAAACTGCAAAAAATAAAAATAAAAACGAGCTCCTGGGACATATTTGGCGCTCTTTAGAAATGCATATAGCGGTACATTTTCAGAACGAGCCTGGGTTGTCACTATTTGCTGGGTTCAATGAAGGTTTAGTCACTGGTGATCTATAACAAGCTCTACCTTCTCATCTCATGTGCATGTGTATCTGAAACATACAACAAAGTATATTTCAGTCTCATATTTCTGACTCGTGGGCGATGCAGTGGTACAGTAGGTAGTGCTGTCGCCCCACAGCAAGAAGGTCGCTGGGTCGCTGGTTCGAGTCTCGGCTCAGCTGGAGTTTCTGTGTGGAGTTTGCATGTTCTCCCTGCATTCGCTTTGGTTTCCTCCAGGTGCTCCGGTTTCCCACAGGTGAATTGGGCAGGCTAAATTGTCCATAGTGTGTGTGTGAATGAGTGTGTATGAATGTTTCTCAGAGATGGGTTGTGGCTGGAAGGGCATCCGCTGCGTAAAAACGTGCTGGATAAGTTGGTGTTTCATTCCGCTGTGGCATCCCCGGATTAATAAAGGGACTAAGCCAACAAGAAAATGAAATGAAAATGAAATTTCTGAGTCGCAAAGTGTAGACAGTGCCCTCTAGTGGATTTGTAATCTGAAATATGTGATGAAATGTACCCGAAGAAATATATTTCAAATTTTGCGAAAAATTCATGCATGTCCAATGAACCTGTGTGTTTTCCCTGTTTATTTGCATCAGATGTCTGCTGGCTTGCAGAGCGACCCAAGGCCACATAATCTAAAAAGAATTACAGGAAATCTGACACAAAGCTGTTTTCGAAGAATCGATTTTTGAATACTATGGAAACTAATCCCTAATCATAACTATTGTATTATGAGCCAAAACAATAAAGTGAAACAAAGCCACTAGAATGAGGTGCTTCCAAAAATATGCCGCTGGTTAATGCGACTGTTGTTCAGTGTAATGCCCACAGCCAGCAGGTGGGCATTGTTTGCAGCTGTAGGGTTGACAGGTGGTACAGCAGTGAGCTACTTTGGTAGATTTTTGTTTTGCTTTGTTCTGTTCCGCTTTAGCCTGAGTAAAGACTGACTCACACACAAATGTGTAAAAATAGAGCCACATAACACACATTGATGGATTTGACTTGTGTCTCTCGGTTTTCCTCTGCTCCCCCTATTCCGAGGCCTCCTTCCTTCCTTCTCTCTCTTTTGTTTTGATTTATGAACAAAATGTTGTAATTGCTTATTCAAGAGAATAGCTACTATCTGGATTTTTCTTTAGTTGTGTGCTACTAAAACGTACAAACAAGATCCAGATGCCCTGTAAACATTAAAGCCCACATACGACAAAATATCTCACTCCCACAAGACTGTAGACTTCAAAGTAATTGAAAAGCCATGAACATAAAATACAAAGACACTTAAAAGAAACCCAAAAAATCTGATCACTGGTTGTGTTGCTGGTTTAAAGAAGGTATAACACTTTTGAAATCGATTAAATGAGTGAACTAAGTTAATTGAGATTTTTTAGATGTTAATCTTTAAAAATACATTCCTGCTCTTGTACACATATGTAATTTTCCACTCAGCTCCTCAAGCACAAATTTAGCTTACCCCTTGGTTTGAACAGATGTCACAGTCTTCACTTAAAGTGGTTTCAAATCACTTTATAGTATTTCCGTTCCCGCTTTACAAAGCCAAAGTGGCAGAAAGTGACCAAAAAGCCATCTGCTCCAAGATTCTTTACAAAATTATTTTAAAATTACTAATAATATGGTCGGGGAGAAAAAAATATTATAATATCGCATTCATTAATAAAGCAATTGTAATAAAATGTGTTTTATAAAAATTATAAAACCGAAGTTTTGTCTTTTTTCATTCTTTGTTTATCTATTATTCTTTGTTTAAATACACTATGAACAGCAGCAACACTATTTATTTTCTTTGTTTTCTATTTCCACCTACTCATCCCGAGGCCTGTAGAGATTGTGCAGGGCCATTAATGTGATCTGTGAAGAGATAATGCCTAGCATTGAGGACATCAAGGACAACACTAAGAGATGATGCTCACAACAGAGGTCTTCAAGAGAGGTTTCCATAATCTTGGACCAGGCCGTATCTTGAGCAGATGCTGTGGTGCTCATGGATGAGTGGAGAGCAAACCCCAGTGACAGACGAGTCTCCGCATTGATCTGGTGGGCAGCCTGTACACCCTTGATGACATACTCACACATGCAGCTTCCGCATGATCGACATACAGTGTTCTTTAGTCTCCGGAGCCTATAGCAGCTCTGCACCAGAGAAGAAATGATCGTTACCAACTGAGCCTGGTTTCTCTTAAGGTTTTTTCCTTCACTTTCATCAATTGGGGAAGTTTGTTCTTCGTCGCTGTCGCCACTTGCTTGCATGGTTCAGAATTTATGAAGCTGCACATCGATAAATTTGCTCTTCAGTGTTTGCACTTCAGCAGTGAAATTTAAACCACTTAACTAAACTTCAACCCTGAAAACTGGACTGACACAGTTTCTATTTACTAGAACTTCTATGCTAAGCTGCTTTTACACAACCTACATGGTAAAAGTGCTATAGAAATGAAGATGAATTAAACTGAATTGAATCTCCATGAGTCTTTTTTCATTTAATCATTATCTCCATGTGTAAAATGTTCATTCATGATAAATGAAAGATATTGAGATGGTTGCCAAAATTAGGAATGGTTTTGAATTGCACTATTGGTTCTTTTCTCCAACAAAGTTTGGAGTTGAAAAGTTTAAAAAAGTTAATTTTATATATTTTTTGATAGTTTGAAGCAATGTTGCCTGCAAATATTAACCTGCCAACAATTTTTCTGTTATTAATCTGGGATTGTCCCAGTGGAATGAACCACCTTAATTCATTTATTTCATGTACAAAATATTGTTTCAAACTATTAAAATGGCTAGAAAACAGAAATTGTTAAACTACATGGTTGAATTTTCAACCAAAGTCGACAGAAGTCCATTTTATAATGAATCATAACCATAAATAAATTGAACAAACGCACATTGTAAAAACAAAAACCTTGGATCCCTTAAATTTTTAAGCTGAATCAAATTCACCTTATGAATCCATTGAACCTATATTGTGTTAAACTGACTTAAAACAGATTGCGTAACTTGTCAAGTTAAGTTAGAGCATTATTTGCTGAGTTTAATAAGTTACAATGACCTAAAAACATGTGCTGTCAGGACTAATTGGTCTTATTCTATTTTACAGTGCATGAATCACGTTATACGGAACCTGAATTAACGCATATATTGTACAGTATGCCAATGTTAATTGTTTGCAGCGTATTTATGATTTCTTCTTTTATAATATGTATGATTCGTTCACTCACGCCCCTCCTCCTCATTAATATGCAGTCCCGCCCTGGTTAATAATTCAGCATTAACCCCGTTCTCCGTCTATCTCGCCGCGCCCCCTCATTAATTTCAGCACGCTTTCAGCCCGCAACAACTTTGCTTTATTATTTCGCGGCCATTTAGGGAGAGTGAATGTGATTTGGGTTTCTATTGTGGATCTGAATTCCTTTACCTCACATCAACTTCACAAAGAGTTTCAGAAAGTGTACCCTCTCGCAGCAGGATTGGTGATCTTTGCTTGATCACTTAGTTAGACTTGAGCCGTTTTCTTTAAGGGGATCGGGAACGTCATCCTCGGTTCAGCGCCACTCCCAAAGGATTAAATTGTTGGAATATGGAGCAAAGCCACTAAACACAGGAGCAGGAGTCCGAGTGTGCTGGGGATCCCGCTATAATGGGATGTGGACTACGGAAACTGGAGGACCCGGAGGACAGCAGCCCGGGGAAAATCTACTCCACGTTGAAGAGACCACAAGTTGAGACCAAAACAGACTCCGCGTACGAGTATGTGCTGCTAGACTTCAGTCTGGAAGGTAACTCATCATCACTGCAAGTAAAGTTAAGAAAAAAGATAAGTTATAAAAAAAAAAGACCAGTTATGTTCTCAGTTCTTACCACAATAAAGAATAATATTAAAGTTAATCACCACTAGTTTTCAAGGAAATCTAACATATTAAAAGCTTACTAACATAAACCGTAATTTTAAGTCGATGTTTTGCCTAAACTTATACCAACCATGTTATATTTTAATCTTGCAACGGTGTAATGAATGGAAAAGGAGCTCTAATGTTATTTGTTAATTTGGCTGTGTCTCAAAACTCGGTAAGTTGCTTGGCTGGTTAGCTGTAACACGTGCCGGTGGTGCCCAGAATACTCCCTAGGTAGGTAGCTCACTAGGATTTGAGCCAGCACCATATTTTCACTTTTTTTTAAACTTGTGCCATGATGAATCCTGGCATGTGTGTCCTGGAGTGTGTTAGGGCTTTATACGGTTTTACCCAGCAACAGCCTGATCTCCTGTGGAAATAGGTCAGGTTTTTTTACGTTACCTCCATATAAACGGCGTCTGGGAGTCACAGTCAGCAGCAGCAGCACCCGACTCTGAGCAACAGTTTCCACTATTTGAATTTCCTTAAATCCTTATTATTTAGGACCGTAGCCAGGGGCGGTTCGGGTGGTTCGAAAGACCCAGCCCCCTACTGACAAATGTCCAGTATTTGTCCCACACATTAGCTCATTTGTCCTATTTTGACTGCCATGCCATCATAAATTATCAAAATAACCCATCGAAAAAGCTTTAAGACCTAAAGTAAGACTTGCAAGTAAAGTCAACTTTCATTGTATTATTGTTAAATAGAGAAAACATTTTAGAAAGTAACTTTTATTCCAAACATTGGACCTTGAAAGAAAAAATAAAATGACCAATAAAACGTAAATCACTAAATGCAGCCAATATTAAAGTTACTTATGATGCATATTTGGCTATTATTGTTATCCATAAATTATCAAATGTACTTTTTACAAGAGAGGTTGGACAAATCATGAAACTACATCAGGAGTCAGGAACCTTTTTTCAGCAAAGAGAATGTTTAATAGGCATTTTTTAAAAGAGCCATTGGGGTGTATGTGCTGTATACCCCAATATATATTTACACACGTTTTACTACTATGAATAATACAGGCTTAAGAGAAACCTTAATTTATGTCCATTCACAACTCAAAAACAAACAAATATGAAGCATCACGTTTTGAGCAAGTCCATGAATGAAGGACAGTTGTTTTCTTTTACCATCACTAACTCATGAATGTTGTTTGAATATACGTGTGCGAGGATATCATAGAAACGCAAATGGTTTGCTATATATTGATGTTGCAATTCAAGTTTATTGGTTGAAACGTCTTTTTATTGTAAACTGATTTATTCATTTTGTTGTAAAAATTACATTAAAAGAAGGAAATTTAATTGTATTTTCAATAGGAAACTGTAAAATATTCTTAAAGGGAAACAGCTGGAGCCTTGTATTTTTGGTTAAAGAGCCACATGTATCTCGCAAGCCATAGGTTCCCTACCACTGCTCTACATTATCATACATTTTTTGCTATTCAAATGAGTAATGAAGTTTGCCCTGCACACTCACGTTTTTTTAAAAAACCTTTTTGGTGCGTTAATCATGTCAATAATAATATTCAGAAGGTCATAATTCACACTCATTGTATAATTGATTTTTAAAGTTTTTATTTTACATTCTTCAAGTGATACAAAACAGACGTTTCGGCACAATGTCTGTGTTTTGTATCACCTGAAGAATATCAAATAAAAACTATACAAAGTAATTATTGTGCGAGTGCGAATCATGACCTTCTCAGTATTGTTAATCAAATCTCCGAATTCGGACTGGGCAAAAGTTTTTTGGCCAGTTTGTTATCTGCCTTATAAATGACAACAGGCCAGAGTTTTTGTTTTAAAACTAACAGATTCCTATTTTTAACCCCTCGTGATGTATGATGTAATGAATTTGTAGTATAATAGTAGACTATTTTTCATATTTCTTTAATTTAAATCTTTAGAAAATGTTTTTAATACGTCAAAACGTTTGACTATCTGCCAAACTAATCTAGCAAAAAAAAAAAAAATAATAATAATAGTGCTTAAAATGTTGCTAAAACACAGTATTTAAACCTCATAATTAGGAAAATTAGTTAAATAACTGCAAAACATCCAGAACCACACCATTCACCAGGCTGGCTACAGTGTTGTTATTCCTGCTTTTAATAAACTATGTGCTTAATGTTGCCCTCCATTAATAGTTTATGGAATGGAAAGTTGTCGTATTGTGTTAGTTTGCCTGAAGAGGAAACGGATTGTCTGAAATTTGGTGCGGGTTTGTGTCTCAACAAGCCAGATGGGGAGCGGGAAAAAGTAAAATCTGGAATGGTTACTGAAATGCTGCCTTCTCAGACACTCCTCTCATATATGCTCCAGAGTCCAGACCACATTTCAGTCAGCTAGGGTGTTGGAAAAAAAATAGCAAATTTAGTTTTTAATGCAAAATATCTATTACATTCATAAACAAAGGTATAATTTATCCCAAAATAAAATAATTTAAACATCATCAGGACATCTACATCTAGCAAATTACCTGTTTTGTCTTCATAAGATTTGTAGCAGATGAAGGAATTGGTCATAGAATTATAATAATATTTATAATAATGTTTTACCTATATTCAGAATTTTGCTCTGCAGTGCTTTGTTTTATGGTGTCCTGTCAGAAAATAATTCGTACATTTCCATTCTTTTTTTTTTTGAAGGCCATTTCAGCATTTTTGGTTATTTTCATGACCCTACTAAAAACTAAAGATATTTTAAGATGCATTATCTTAAATAACTTGTTTTGGACTAGTTACTTGACTTAGGACTTTTTTTGAGATGTTCTCAGAAATTCTCAGAGCATTAGACACACTCTAGTCACACTTCAAAAAAATATTTTACTGATGATGTGCTATGTCATGAAGTACATGTTTTTGTGTATATATTTGTATAAGTTGTGAGTGCCCTACTGTATTGTACTGTAACGTTATTGATGATTACAGAGTGCTTCTCATTCCATTCTGACTGCCACTTGTTTTAGAGCAGGTTTTTGATCTGGTAAAGCTATAAAAAAAAACATCTAGACGGCTTCTTGATTTATACTTCAACAGGATACTGAAGTTTAGAGAATCCATGTCAAAAGAAGGAAATCTAGTTGGTCCCAAACGCATTGAAAATCTTTATTTCATGATTATTAGTGTTTGGAATGTTGAGTATTTCTGCAGGGTCACGTGTCTTAACCTGCCTAGATGTCAGATCTAGCCATTTAGAAGATGGAAGAGAAAAACGGCTTGCTAAGTAAAAGCTAAATGTCTATATCGATATTGCAGTCTTAAAGTGATGGGTCACTCAAAATGTAATTTCTCTCATCATTCATTCACTCTTCACTTGTCAGACCTATAAATATATATTGTGCTGCTTTTTCTGTTGAACACGAAATAAGATATTTTGAAGAATGTAAAAACGAACAGTCATCAACATCCATAGTATATGATTTTCCTACTCTGACAGTCAATGGCTGCAGTATTCCTCCACACTTTAAAATATCCTAAAGGTAATCATAAAAGATAAGATGAGTTATGAGTACATTTTTATTTGGGGTAAACTATTATGCCAATATGCATCAAGTGCCTCAATAATAACAGAAAAATAAATACTTTTAATGCAACACATCTTCAGTCAGATATCGCACCTTTTCATAAGAACATAAACATGTCCGTGGGTTTCGGAGTGTAAGATTTAAGAGAAAAGTGAAGGGGAATGTTAATTCTTCCTTTGTTCCATCCAGGCTTTCATTCTTGAGAACACCTGGTTTACAGATGCCTGAAGCGACGGTGTCTGACACTGATCATCAGAGCGCTCAGATTATTTAGACAGATCTGCAGATTTTTGCTTTACCTGCGTGTCGAGTATAATCTGTGGAAAGACCTCGACTGAGTTTATGTCTGAAAGTTTTAAGTGATCAATACTGTTGGTTACGTGGCTGCTGTAGCACTAAGCTTGGTTCTTTTCAGCCATATGCAAGAACCACAGCTTGACATGTATGATATGATGATATATGAAGGGTATCGCCTGTAAAATGCCTTAGTTGTTAGCTTGCATACTTGCTTCTCTCAGGCCTGTCTTGTTCTGCTTCTCATGTCAGAACAGGCACAATACTTTCTAGAAAAATAAAGGCTCCAAAAGGAGGTTTTCACAGAAATTTCGTAGCATATCTTTTAGGTTATTTAAACCTTTAAGAATATCATAGTAACAATGAAGATTATGTTTGTGTGTGTGTTGTATAAGAATATTTGTAAAGCATGTTCAACAGTACTAGGGCTGTTACTGCGATGTTTTGTTTTTCTTTGCCATTATTACATAAATACAATTACACCAGATTAAATTGTGATTTAATTAGAATTCAGGTACAGAAATTAAATAAGCAAATGTAAAAAAAAAATGCAATCTTTTTCAATAAAATATTCTTTAATAAACTTTTAATAAAAATGCCTTAAACTCTCTTGATGTGCTCATGCAGTCACAGGACTTAAAACACATGCAAGTGATAAACGTTTGTGCACTTATTTGTGGTTAAAAATCTTAAATGACTCCACAAATGTCATGTTCTGAACTCCGGCTCCTTTTCTGCTATAATCCCAATTTAACATTGCAGATCGCGAAAGCACACATTTTGATATTGATGCTAAAACGAAATATCAAACAGCCCTAATCAATACTCAAGACTTCCAACTTGGGAATATGGAAGGTCTGAGGGTTTGATATGAAATACAGTTAAATTCAGAATTATTAGCCCCTCTTTGAATTTCTTTTCTTTTAAAAATATTTCCCAAATGATGTTTAACAGAGCAAGGAAATTTTCACAGTATGTCTGATTATATATGTTTTTTTCTGGAGAAAGTCTTATTTGTTTTATTTCAGCTAGAATAAAAGCCGTTTTTAATT